AAGAAAAGGATGAGGGACTCCAAGAGCTAGATAGGTAGGGATGCTACAGGGCCAGTGCCAATTGATTTGATTGCCAACATGGAGGAGCAAATTGAAAGAGAAGAAATGGATTGGAACTATGATTCATCTGATGAGGACTACAGCTATGATGAAGATTCAGATGGTCACATAAGGAAAAGGAAGAGTACATTCCCAAGATACAACACTAAAAGTGAAGTACCACATTTTCTTTAACCATGGTTTTTAGAAGCAAGAATCAGCTGAGCAAAGCTTTGAGAAGATATGGACTAGTAACAAAGAGGAGCATCAAGTTCATGAAATCTGAGTGTGACAGAGTAAGGGCGAAGTGTGGATGGCCTGGCTGCCCATGGCTGATATATGCAGCCAAGAGATCAAGAACTTCAAGATTCCAAGTCATAACCTATAATGATGATCACCAATGTGCACAGAACAGATGCAACAAGTTGGTTACTGCAAAGATGATTGCACAGAGGTATGAGCACTTCATATTGGCAAATCCTATGTGGAAAACTGAGAGCATGAAAGCAACTATTTTGCAAGATATGTTTGCTGATGTCTCCACTTCAAAGTGCAAGCATGCAAAAAGAATTGTCATGGACAAATTATTGTGTGGAATGAACAATGAATACACTAGTGTTTGAATGCCAACTTGAGCTGCTAAGGAGCAACCCTGGAAGCACAGTTGTTGTTTGCATGGATCCAAACAACATGGAGGAAAGTGTATTTCAGAGCTTCTATGTGTGCTTTAATGCAATGAAGCAAGGATTCAAGGCTGGTTGCAGAAAAGTAATAGGCCTTGATGGTTGTTTCTTTAAAGGTGCAGTGAAGGGTGAGCTATTGTGTGCCATAGGTAGAGATGCAAATAATCAGATGTATCCACTAGCCTGAGCTGTAATTGAGAATGAAACTAATATCACATGGAAGTGGTTTGTTAGGCTTCTCATTAAGGACTTGGAAATAAACAATAATGGAGCTGGCTGGGTTATTATTTCTGATCAGCAGAAGGCTGCAGAGCATAGGATGTGTGCTAGGCACATTTATGCTAATTGGAGGAAGAAACATAGAGATCATGAGTGGCAAAAGAAATTCTAGGCAGTTGCTAAGGCTTCCAATAGGCAAGATTTCAACTATTACAAGGCCAAGCTTGCACAGGTCACTCCTGAAGGGGCTAAAGACATCATGAGAACTGAGCCAGTGCACTGGGCAAGGGATTTTTTCCCAGTTGGTTCAAACTGTGAGTCAGTTGACAACAATCTTTGTGAGTCATTCAACCTTGCTATAGTTTATGCTAGGTTTTATCCTATTATTTCTATGAATGAAAAAATTAGGAAGAAAGTACTAGTGAGAATTCAGGAACAAAGTGAGAAAGGTGCCAACTTTAGAGGAAAAATATGCCCTACTGTTTTTAACAAGGTCAAGAAAAGTATTGCTAGAACACAATATCTTGAGGTGCTCTGGAATGGAGAAAATGGATTTGAAGTGAAGCAAGTGAATGGAGGAGGAAGGCAGTACACTGTGGACCTGGAAAAATGGACATGATCTTGTGGGTACTTCCAGCTGGCAGGGCTTCCTTGCCACCATGCAATTAGTGCCATCTACAAGTGCAACAAAAATATTGAAGATTTTATTGCTCCTTGCTACTTTGTTGAAGTGTTCAACAAAATCTATGAGCATTGCTTGCAGCCAGTGGAGGGTGAAGAGATGTGGCCAGTGTCACCCAATCCTAGGCCAGTGCCTCCTGAATATGTTAGGTTGCTAGGAAAAGAGAAGAAAAAAAGAAGGCCTAAAAACAATGATAGGAGAAGAGAAGAAACAAAGCAACCTAAGGGGAAGAAAATGAGCAAGCATGGCACAATTATCAAATGCTCATTATGTGGTAACCCTGGGCACAACAAATCAGGATGTAAACAGAATCTAGAGAGAGGCAAGAAAAATAATGCACATCTTGCTAGAACTAGCAAGAAAAAGAACCCAACTGAGATATTTGTTGTTGTCATGTACTTATTGCATGTTGCATATTTATCCTGCTTATTAGTCTTTTGTTGGAACTTATTGCATATTTATCCTGAATTTGCAGCAAGCCAAAGGAAGTGCATCTGTCTCTGCATCTGCTCCACCAACAGCACCAAGTTCAGCACCAACATGTCCTTCTACTGGAACAAGTTCCAACAGGTTTAAGCCTCCAAGAAAGAGAACTGCAACTGCTGAAGCTGGATCATCTGCTGCCCTGGAGAATCTACTTTCACAAGGACAAGATCTGGAGCTAAGAGGGGAAGAAGGCCTGCATCATCAGTGCCAAGCTTCAAATATTTCACTCGCAGTGGAAACTACTAGTTATAGTTGAAGAAGGGCTGCATCTAGTTCTTTTGGTCAAGTTGCAATGTTCCAAAACATGTCTGATGTAATGTTGCAAACTTATCTTTTGTTCATGGCTCAAGCTAGGGGTCATGTAGAGTATGACTTGTTTCAAACCCAGTTTATGTGGAATTAACTTGGTCTGGATGACCTTGCTATTATCAGTTGCATTTCCTTGTTATTTAATTGCTAGCAGTGTTTCCAAATGCCATCCTGACAATGCTATCTAGTGCTTTGCCTTACAATCTGCATTATCTTACAATGCTATCTAATGCCATCCTGACAGTGTTCCTAGCAGTGTTGCAGTTCTCTACATCATATATGCACTGGAATTATCTTATAACTTGCATCATCTATGCATTATCTTACAAACAACATCATCTTCCACTTTACTGGTACTAAATTGCCAGCAAGCAAAGATTTTAGTGCTACAATTTTGTTGTATTAAATTGCCAACAAAGATTGCAAACATATATCTTACAATCTTCATCATCTTCCATTTCAGATGTACAAAATGATGGCATAACACAACTTGCACTTCCACTTTCATTAATTCCAAACAGTGCATGCACACAACTTCCACTTTAAACAAGGCATACAACTTGCATCATCAGTGCCCAAAAGATCACTTCATTCTAAACTCTAAAGCAGTACTACATTTCATACAAATAACACTTGCAAATCTTAATGCGGTAGCACCTTCCCTGCAACTAAACCTACCACAAAGACAACAAACAACATGACAACATTATGATATTTCCCCTTCAGTGCATCTATCTCTGCATTTTTCTGCTTCAACTGATCTTGTAGAGACATAGCCATGCCTATTCCTCCTGTTTCAGCTTCAGGCAGAGCCACAACTGAAGTTGGATCTTCAATCACAGCAGAACTTCCTTGACCTCCCAGCCTACTCACTTCATCTCGCAAATCCCCAATCAAATCACTCCAAAACTTCGGCAGAGGATCATCATGCCATTCCACATATCCACAACCACCATGTTGTTCAATTGTACCAACAGAAATCAATGAGAGGGAAGAAGAACAAATGAAGAGAAAATAAAACCCAACTTGAAGCTCACAATGGCATCAACGCAGGTGTAGTACCCCCTGCCTGGGTTCTGACGGCTCCACGAGATCCACCTTGGCGCCTTCCGACATGGGTTGCACCAGCAGAGCTTCTCTGGCTCGTACGCCATCGGGTTCTTGCGGTACGGCACCGGCGACCTCGATTCCTCCCCTCTCCTTCCGACGGCTCGACGAAATCAGGGAGCACTCGAACCACCCGAAGACCACGACATTGCCCTCGACGTAGCCGCCGCCGCCCCCTGCGAAATCGCCTCCTCTGCCGCCCCTCAAGGAATCGCCGCCGCCGCCTAACCCAAGTTTCTCCCCCCAAATTCCCAATCCATTTGTTGTTCACCCCCCGCGCGTTCCAGTTATAAACCTGGCCCACCTAACTAACAATCCTAGCCACGTCAGCGTTTTTTGGGCTAAAACGACTCTGAGGTTTGATTTGGACCGGGATTAATTAGTTTAGGGTCTGAACGACAGGGATTTTGACTTCAGGGTTTGATTCGCCGGACGTCTACGAATTCAAGGTTTAAAATGGACTTTTTCCATTCAGATGTCTTCACGTTGGATTTTTGTGTACTTGACATTAATTTTGTAAGAACGTCGAAGAGAGGCAAGACATGCTCAAGACAAAAAGGGGAAAACCTCCGTTACTATTTCTAAAACGAGTGAGAAATGCTAAATCGAATAAGTTTTTTTTGTATGGGTGAAGTCGAGTAATTTCAAGAAGATGATACATGTAATTGGAAGTAAAATAGGAAGACCAAGTTAGATGAAATATACAGTACAGTGGAGTACATGTTTTAACGTGAGGAGCATCAATGTGCAACCACCTAACTGTGCTTAATTGAATGCGTTGATGCACAATTTTTCCACTAGACGAGTCAAGATCGTCGATATAAATACAAAGATTTTTTGGTCATTGAGTACTCAGTCACTCACTGGAAAACAAATTCGTTGGCTGTTCGTTGCCGGATCCTCCCACACATGACCCCCGTCCCCTTGTCGGCTCATCGAAGGCAACGGCGACGGCAACCTCGGCTCGCCGGCAGCCAACGCCGTCCACGTCCCTACCCTGACGCCACCGTCACTCGCTTCCATTGCTCGCGCCCATCGTCGCCATGCTTCAGCGCCGGCTGGCCGCGGTAATCTTGCTCCTCCTGTTCTCTCGGGACGTCGCCGGCGCCCAAGAGTTCGTGTACGCCGGCTTCGCCGCCGGCAGCGTGGCGACCACTGGAGCGGCCGTGGTCACCCCGTCCCGCATCCTCCAGCTCACCAACGACACCAGGGAGACGTTCGGCCACGGCTTCCACCCGACGCCCCTCCGCTTCCGGGACGCCTCCACCGGCGCGCCCGTCTCATTCTCCACCACCTTCGTGCTCGCCATCGCACCGCGGTACCCGGACGCGCACGGCCACGGCATCGCCTTCGCGCTCGCGCCGTCGGTCAACGTCCCGGGCGCCGTCGCAGGCAAGTACCTCGGGCTGTTCGATACGTCAGACAGCCTGGGCAACGGCAAGAGCCAGATCGTGGCCGTCGAGCTCGACACGGTCATGGACATGGAGTTCCATGACGTCGACGACAACCATGTCGGCGTCGACGTCAACAGCCTCCACTCCGTCAACTGGACCACGGCCGGGTACTGGCACGACGATGGCTCTGGCGGGAGGAGATTCGACAACATCAGCCTGACCGGCGGCAGCGACGCGCCTGTGCAGGTGTGGATCGAGTATGACGGTGACAGCGCGCGCCTCGAGGTGACCGTGTCGCCGGCAGGTGAGCCCAGGCCGGCCCTCCCACTCTTGTCGTGCCACGTCAACGTCTCGTCGGAAGTGGCCGAAGACACCTACGTCGGCTTCTCAGCGGCGAACGGCGCCGCCATGAGCTCGCATTACGTTCTTGGCTGGAGCTTTCGCCTCGGCGGAGGCCGCGCGCCGGACCTCGACCTCTCCAAGCTCCCGAGGCCCCCGTCGCCGCCGGGACCATCCAAGAAGAGGATGTCGCTTCTACTACTCCTGATACTGCTCCTCCTGGCTGTCCTGCTCCTGCTCCTAGTGTCGGCGGCCATCGCGACGTTGGTCGTGCGGCGGCAACGGTGGCGCCGACAACGCCAAGAGTTCTCCGAGGAGGAGGAAGGCTGGGAGATGATAGACTACAGCCCTCACAGGATCAGCTACAAGGACCTGCACGACGCCACCAACGGCTTCCGCGACGTCATCGGCGTGGGCGGCTTCGGCCGCGTGTACCACGGCGTGCTCCCGAGGTCCGGCGTCGAGGTCGCCGTCAAGAAGGTGTCCCACGGGTCGCAGCAGGGGCTGCAGGAGTTCGTGTCGGAGATCACGAGCATGAGCCGGCTGCGCCACCGTAACCTGGTGCAGCTCCTCGGCTACTGCCGGCGGCGCGACGAGCTGGTGCTCGTCTACGACTACATGCCCAACGGCAGCCTGGACCAGCACCTGTTCGGCCGCACCGCGCCGGGGCTGAGCTGGGAGCAGCGCGCCAAGATCGTCCGGGGCGTCGCCGCCGGGCTGCTGTACCTGCACGAGGGGTGGGAGCAGGTGGTGGTCCACCGGGACATCAAGGCCGGCAACGTGCTGCTCGACGCCGACATGAACGGCAAGCTCAGCGACTTCGGCTTCGCGCGGCTCTACGACCACGGCGGCGACCCGCACGCGACGCACGTGGTGGGCACGCTCGGGTACATCGCGCCGGAGATGAGCAAGACCGGCATGGCCACCACGAGCTCCGACGTCTTCGCCTTCGGGGCCTTCCTGCTCGAGGTGGCGTGCGGGCGGAGGCCCGTGGTGTTCACCGTGGACGCCGACGGCGACTCGCCGTCACCGGCGGGGATCGTCGAGCTCGTCCTCCAGCGCTGGAAGGCCGGGAAGATCACGGAGGCTCGGGACCCGAGGATCGGCGAGTGCGACGAGGACGACCTGGAGCTGGTCCTCAAGCTGGGGCTGCTCTGCTCGCACCCCGACCCGGAGCGCCGGCCGGGCATGAGGCAGGTGGTGCAGATGCTGGAACACGCCGTGCCCCCGCCAGAGATGTCGCCGGAGGTTATCAGCGAGAGCATGAAGCAGTTCGAGCACCATGAGGCTTTCGACGAGTTCGTCGGAATGTCGTTCCCGTCGACGTCCGAGGTCACCACCGCCACGACGCAGCAATTCTCAAACGGCAGCCGTCCTCGTAGTGACTTGCATTCAAGCTAGATTAGCAAATACAGCAGCAAGCAGTACGTTGTGAAAATTTTAACTTGTGTAAACATCTGAACTGAGAAGAACATTTCTAATTTTGTGCACTTATGTTTTTTTTTTTTTTGCACATGACTCAAGAATGTATGTATTTACACAAGCTTTGCAAGAAACTGAAGTATTGCAATATGTATACATTTGAATTTTTTTTCATGTAAATGTATAATTGTTTATTTTGAGCCAGCAGCACATCTCCCGTGCGCAACTCGAAGTTACCGTTGAAGCTAGTTTCATGAATTATTGACCTTCAAGAATTGCTCGAACAATGGTGGCCTAGAAAAGAAAGTAATTCCGAGATAACGGCACCGTGGCTGCTGGCTGGCAAGTCAGGACCTCTCCATCGGCAGTAACCGTGTAGGTCTCGGGGTCGACCTCGATTTTCGGAAGCGCATCGTTGAGCTTCATGTCCAGCTTCGATAAATGGCGGACACCACCAACAGCTTCCACCCTCTTTGCTAGTTTGTACTCTGATGCAACACCAGCTTCTTTGGCAGCCTGTGATCATTTCAGACATTAAGCAGCAGTCATTGCCATTCCTCAAGACCATATCATTAGATGGATATATTTCTTTCACCAAAGATATCGCAACAACATATATCTATATTAAGCTTGCAAAAGTTTCTTTCATGGCATTATTTTGAAAAAAGAAATCGTTAGAAGAGTTTTTTTAGTGAGGTACGGTATCGAACATTACTAATCATCCTAAATTCGTTACAAGAGTTCAATAGGCTAACCTTGCTCACAAATGCAATCGAGTGAGAGCTCCCAGCCTTTCCATATGCACCAAACATAGGTCGCATCATAACCTGCGTCAAGAATGCACCATTCTGTGCTGTAAGTTTTTCAACTACAGGAAGATTGTGGAGACATCGACAAAAGAGTAAAATGCTGATTCATCCACACTTTGCAGTTTATGCATCTAACATAGAATTTTTTACAGTTTACCACATATACCATCATAATTTAACAATGACAAATCAGATTTGTCGTGACCATCACCAAGGTCAAAATGAAGCATGAGTGACCTGACAGGAGTTGTGTCTGTGAAGCTTGCTGACCTAGGTCCCTGGGTTGTTTGGGTCTTCAGGTTGTGAATCAATCCTATAGTCTAATTTGTAATAGCTCACAGGGCCAAGGTAGGGTGTGTGCTCATTGGTATGTGGGGTGTGTTTCTTGATATTTTAGGCCACCAAGTTCACCCTCCTAGAGTCCTAGTTTTGTAAACCTTTTATCTTCTACCCCTCCATTCCTAAATATAAGTCTTTCTAGAGATTACAATATGAACTACATACAGAGCAAAATGAGTGAATCTACACTTTAAAATATGTCTATATACATCCATATGTAGTCCATATTGAAATCTCTACAAAGACTTATATTTAGGAACGGAGGGAGTATTAACGAAAAGGCACGCTGATCTTTTGTGCATCCTTGACAAAACAAGTGGGTAACTACACCAGAAGAACTAGATTAAAAAAAAAAGAGCACACATGGGGCAAGATTTTTCTTGCACCAACATCAGTGATGCTCTGGTCAAACTTGGCTGTCAATGTCAACTTGGTCATAACTGACAAGCTAGCTATTTTCATGTAGGCTAAATGGAAACATTATGACAAAAAGCAAGACTTTCTTATTCAAAGGATCTCAGAGAAAGGAGTCCATACAGGTTCAGGTGTTGGAATGCTAGCATTCGGATCACCCATATTGGCCCACGCAATTGCACCACCTTTTATAATCAATTCTGGTTTTGCACCAAAGAAAGCAGGTTTCCAAAGAACTAGATCAGCTAACTTTCCCGCCTGCCAAAAGCACGTACAGATAAATAACAAAACGGAAAAACAATTCAAAAGTAAGGATCAGTTAGCTTTTGAATTGACATATTCAGAAAAGAAAAAAGAAATCCTTAGCCAGAATGTAAGTGGGTGTGATACCAAACAACAAAAATATTCTGAGTTGCCTTGATACACAACATTTTTCAGGAGCTACAGTGAAATTACATATGTTGCTAGACTTGCTATTACATTATGTTACCCTGAAATTATATCAAGCATATTAAACAAAGCACATAACCCTTTTCCTTTAGATGCCTAATTTCAGTGTGTGGACGGCATTGCCTACCTTATGTTGTTTACTGAATATGAAGCATTTAATGGAAGAAAATCTGAAAGTGGCCAAGAGGTACATACCTCCACAGAACCAACAAAATCTGAGAAGCCGCTTACTATAGCAGGATTTATGGTATATTTTGCTATGTATCTTCTTATACGGAAGTTGTCATTATCCTCGGCAGGATCAGAGTCACAAGGCCCAGGTAACCTACCTCTTTGGACTTTCATCTTGTTTGCAGTTTGCCATGTTCGGATAATCACCTGAAAAGTAATTGTTTCAACAAATGCATATAAATAAATCAAGTTTGAAGTCGGCTACTGTTTACTAGAGCTCAGACGTCAATCTAGACGTATAAGTATATCGGTTCAAGTCTCTCAAACAATTATTTTTTCCATCACGGCTTATCCGAGAAAGCCAAAAGACGTACTTCATTAAAACAATTAATTTATGATACTTATAAGCTTATAGTTGCTCCATTGACTTGATTGTTTGGTTTGCATTGACACTAGATTTGAAAATAAACTGATATTATTTTCCCCTGAAGTTTTCTTCATGCCATTTCCCCTGAAGTTTACGATAATACAGAAATTACTACATTGGCTAGTTACATTCTGATGAATTAGCACATAACATGAATAAATACAATCCGGTGTACAGAATAAGAGGACTGACATAAAATAATTTACTTGAACTCAAAACACAAGGAAATGATGACTTGTAACCTGCAAGTAGTATTTGAATCTGCACTCGGTTAATATGAATAGTAGACATTCAGAAACTAGCATCTACTCTAAGATGCATTAAAGCAGTTCACTTCCATGTGACACGAGAAATGCATCTGACTGTTACACAGATCTGCCAGTGCAGATACAAGCAAGGCAACAATCATTCTGCCTTGCCCTGCTTAAGGTTAATGCTGAGATATTCACCAATAATATTGCCACCCATGATACTGGCCAACAATTTAGTTAAGCACCATAAGTACTCTGCAGTTCCAAAACTTTGGCTCCATCAAATTGTTCTTTTTCCTTATAACTGTTGAGTTGACACAGGCAAAACCTTTAGCTGGTCTCTCACGCATGATAAAAGTTGAGACCGGGCCATCTATTAGTGCCACAAGGTGATGTACCAGGAATCAGGTTAATTGGATTCATGTAACTCTGAGGTTGGAAAAAAGTGATTTTTGCCCATCCGTGCCTGTCACAGTGTCACCCGCTGGACTGATATTTGTTATAAATCGACACCATTGATTTTCATCTTCAAGATTAAAAAAAAAATTCGGTAAATGGCCATCTAATTCGTCCCACTTTCATCATGAACTAGACATACACCATAGGCTATAGTGCCAACTCTTGTGCATCGACCTAGTTGCTCACTGTATTCACCTGACAGATTGTCAAGTGTATGCATGTTGATTGATGGTGAAGACAATCAATTCAACAACCACAACATTATGAGCCAATCACATACCGTTGCAGCTGTCGTCTCTATTTCACCGTTTAACTAATTTATGGTTTGTATGAGCATAAGTGGAGGATGAAAGTCACGGCTTTGAATACAAGTTATGAAGATCATCAGAACTAACTAACCAATCTTGCCACCAACCAAAGTAATATGAGATGTGAAAACTGTTCATCACAATGAAAAAAAGGATAAGGGTATGTAACAGACCTCTCCAATGCGACCCATAGCCTGTGAATCAGATGATATGATACTGATTGCCCCCATGTCGTGCAAGATGTCCTCAGCCGCAATGGTTTCTGCTCGAATTCTTGACTCGGCAAATGCTACATCTTCTGGGATGTTTTTATCAAGGTGGTGGCAAACCATCTACAGGAGAACCACAATATCTGACGACCAAATTCTCAAGTAATATTCATAGCATCAGCATGAGACAATTGTTTACCAGCATATCAAGGTGCTCATCAACAGTGTTAGAAGTAAAAGGCCGGGTTGGGTTTGTTGAAGAAGGCAACACATTTTTCACCCCACATACTTTAATGATGTCTGGGGCATGACCACCACCTGCACCTTCGCTGTTTATAAGACAATAAGAACACAAGCACCATTAACAATTGCCCGATATACCCAACAATTTGAATTCTACAACATGACAAGAATATTTTGGAAGGGGGGCTGTGAGTTATAATCCTTAAAATGTCGACACATTTTCCATCTTCATTTTGGCCGGCATTTTCAGTTTCCAGATTTCTCAACAATTGACAGGGTAGTTTCTACGGCATCACAGAAATCAGAACTTTTCTCCGCATACAACCCATATACAAGTAACGTAGAAAAAATGTAACACCTGAATACATCATGCTCCATACCTGTGATATGTGTGTATGGACCTATCTTTAAAAGCTGCAATTGTATGCTCCACACAACCTGCTTCATTTAAGGTATCCGTGTGGATATTAACCTGTAGAATTTCGATGAGCATCACCAGAATAAAAAATATGCAGGTATACCGGCATGATAGGATGATAATACAAGACAGCTTACTTGGATATCAAAAGCTTCTGCAACAGATAAACAGTTATCTATCGCGGCTGGGGTGCTTCCCCAATCTTCATGCAGCTTCAAACCCATTGCTCCTGCCATAATAATCTCAGATAATCCTTCGGGTTTTGCAGTATTTCCCTGCACAGTATATTGACAGGGATAAATGTTTAGATTTTGAGCAAGGATATCATCACTTTGCTATATTCACTACGCAGACTACATGTGGATACATTCTAATTAACAAATTTGAGTTCCCATGATCTATATAAGAACCAGTCAACTAAGATATTAGTGCTAGCAGTCCATCCTATCCAATGCCATATGTTGGTTTCTTGCCTTTCTGGTTGCAAGACACTTGGATAACAGTCTCCAATGTTTTCTCCACATACCATAAAAATAACATGTAGGAAATGCTAACTATGAAGCTCTGAAATGGTAGGGATTGAAATCTTGATGTATATTTTGTTAGCTGCACTCCACCCTAGAAACCATCATTTTATTTCACAACTAAAGAAGATCAGTATAAGGCTAAACAGATTTAGAATTTGTATTGAACCTTTAATTAGTGTTCATAACATATATACCTTTCCTGTGAATCCCACGTTGATTGGAAATTCGTCGGTGGACTGCAACATTAGTTTCATCTGAGACGGTGCAGGGGTGCAAGTTGTGGCACAAGTTCCATGTGCTGGTCCTGTCCCACCTCCCACCAATGTTGTTATGCCTACAAATAAATGTGGAGATGATTTAATGACCTCATCATTTATCAGTAGTTAATCCAAACATGCATTTGAATATTGCATAGAAAACCTTTTTGTATGTGTAATTATTTATATTCAACCATAAAGTATAGTTACAGAAAGTGCCAGTTCTGCCAGAATGCTTGTCAGTGTCAGTACCCATATTTTTAGAAAATGCTATGAAAATTTCAAGATAGTACAAACTTAAAGAGATGTGATTCTCTGTCCCTTGTCTTTAGTAACTAGCAGGTCTGTAGCAACTAGCAGGGAATACATTTCGGGGATTCTCAGGTCATCCCAAGAAAAGCACAAGTCCGGCAAAGAAAATTACCCCGCTTTGACTTCAGGCACAACATTCAATGATTACTATATTTAAAACTATGATAGAGAAGCACATGCTGTTGTGGTCTTAGATCTGGTATAATGAAGGGCTCAGCTTGAATCTCCCATCCTGTTCTTTTCTTTTCCTCCATAAAAGTCAACTTTGAAAAATTGCTTTTGCTGGATCTGTCTGGATTTTTTTTCCTTAAAACCGATATTTTATTTCCCGACAATAACAGGTGCAAAGACTAAGGAACTTTACCACTTGCAATTGCCTCATTTACCAGCTGAGGGCATATGAAGTGAACATGGCAATCTATACCACCAGCAGTTACAATCATGCCTTGAGCAGCAATAACTTCTGTATTCACCTGGAAACAATTTCAAGCATGAAATTTATTTAAAATGCACTCCTCTTATTTGTTAAATCAATCTAAAAGGTGCAGGTATGTTGTTACCCCAACAATCATGTTGCTGTGCACACCATCCATGACATCAGGGTTTCCAGCTTTCCCAATGGCAATAATAAGCCCATCTTTTATACCAATATCAGCCTTGTATATTCCTGTATAGTCAATCACAACAGCATTTGTTATAACTGTATCCAGGGAGGCAGATGCTGGATACCCTGCTGATTGTCCCATTCCATCACGCAGAACTTTCCCCCCTCCAAATATGCACTCATCACCATAAACAGCAAAGTCCTTTTCAATCTCCGCAAAAAGATCGGTATCACCAAGCCTAATCTTATCACCAGTTGTAGGTCCATACATGCTAGAATATTTCTCATGATCAACACTGCAGTCGAATGTACCGTCACCAATAAGACCTTCGCTGCAACCAAAGTTTCAAAGGTAAACATCTAAGCCATAATAAATTCAACAAAAGTTGGATTTATCCTCTACCATTAGTTAAATGTGAAGGAAACAACCTTGCGCCCGGATAATCTTCATGTCCAAAACCATTCTCAGTAATCTTCTGCATTACCTCATTAAGCTGAGAACTGTCAACAGCACCATCAGCAATGCCATTTCCACCTCTAATTACTTTATGGCCACCAATGCTTACAAGTGTAACACTTTTTGCATCCCCTGGCTGAAACAAATAAATAAGAAATCAGATTCTAGAGGATTTTAGAAGTAGGATGTGCGGAATATTTGTGAGAGTAAGTAGGATCCCTAGTACTTGAAATGTATTGTTAGACTATACAGAGCAGAAAATGCCAAATGATGGACGAATAAAAGAACCTCAAACCGAACGGCTGTTCCAGCAGGTATATTCAGTCTCATGCCATAGGCTCTGTGTCTATCAAAAACCAGGTACGGATTGGCCTCTATAAAGTGGTAATGGCTCCCGATCTGCAAAACACAATTTGGAATTTTTTTTTCTCATGAACTGCAACTTATAGTAGCATCAGAATCTAAAAGGGTGGTATAGCCCCATCAAAATCGTGAGATTGTTGAATGCGATGCAAAATGAACGTATTATGAAAATATGTGGAAAGAAAAGGCAATTGGATTGTAACAACAGTATCTAAAAGGGAGAAAATGTAAGTTTAACCTGAAAAGGAGCAATAAAATATTGATGGAAACTCAAGAAAAGGAACCACAGCATGGAACAGCCATTTTCCCATCAAGATCAACATGGCTATACTAATGCATGAGTTTGAGCAACATAATTAAAGAAAGAATGTACCTGAAATTAATTTCCCAAAAAGGACTTTAGGAGGATAAGTCATAGTGTTAGATAGAGCTAGGGATACAAGTTTGGATCAAGACGACTCGTTGGTCCATTTTAGTTCTTTTGCTTGATCAATAATGTAAATAGCATGTGTACAAAGTGAAACACCAAGTAAGTGGGAGTGAACCACCAAGTAAGTGGGTTGAGCCAGTGGGTTGGCCCGATTGTCTCCCTAGTGTTTCTTTTAGAAGAAAAGGGCATCTTTGTCTCCCTACTATCTAGAGCCATTCAGCTAACTCCGTCACCTAATTAAGCTGTTAGCTCTTAACACATTTACATGTTCAACCTAATGTGGTGTGGACTGTGCAGGACGTCTGTTCACTGCCTTTAGCAGTGTTACAAGTAACAACATTATTACACGGCTGCCGGTTCAGCGCCATGTTATGCTACATGTGGACGAAATGCTATGATATTGCCAAGGGGTGGCAGGAGTGATCTTGTTAAATGACTAGCACTCACACAGTTGTACCACAAGGAGTGGCATTAAAGCATAGGTCCAATTGTGAAAATAAGTCGGGGGCAAAGATCCATCAAATGAAAATGTCATAGAATAAGAAGTTATTTGTAAATTTGCAGTCAGGACACAAAACGAAAAACACCCACACGTGCTTACCTGAATAGGCCTGTCTGCCTTGTTAACAACCTTCAGCGTTAAAGCCCTGCGATGAAGGTTGAGGATTATGCGTCCAGAGCAGAAATGTACTTCACCAGGATAGTCCTCAACATCACTCCCAGAAAACTTTTCAAGTGAAGGTACTGCAACAATATAATAACTCGTGTACAGTTACCTTAATGTTTCTCAAACTGATTACTCAATTCAACTTTCTAGAAGAGCCAGATTACCACAAGTACAGTATTTTAAGATTTATACAACCATGCAACTTAAGATATAAACTTCTATTAGTAAACCAAGTGTGTTGATCAGCGTTGACAACCTGGGAGATAAGAACCATGCAGAGCTAGCTCCAAATTTCCATCATCAGAACAAATAGGGTCATGTACAGTAATTAGTTTTGTTCCATCCATAAATGTTCCTTCAACCTAGAAAAAATGTTATCATTGAGTTTATTTTGAAAGATAATGGTAACAAGCATAGTTGTCAAGCATACTGTTGTAAAGTTAGTATATGGGTCCAATCAAAGCCCGTATTATGGTCTAGTTGTAACCTTAGTACTATAAATAAAGGGTGGCTGATGAGAGGCAGACATTCTAATCTGCATAATCCAGGATACTCGGCATGAAGCTCCAAAGATAACTTATCTTGGGCCAACAAGAGTTCAAGGTACTCCCTCCGTTCGGAATTACTTGTCACAAAAATGGATGTATCTACAACTAAAATACATCTAGATACATTCATTTCTTGGACAAGTAATTCCGAACGGAGGGAGTACCTCCTAAGGTGTTTGGTTGTATCACAGACATTCTGTAGGCAAGTTGGACCCGTTAACTGTATTTATTTTGGTATGCATCTCATCAAAAGAGCCTTCTACATTTTTTTTGGCTGCCTGTTCAAACAGAGGGCAGTTATCTGACCGTCTGTTCAAAACCATCTACGCACTTGAGTAGTACACGCGCAAGCCATAGTTTCAGGTGGCATTTTTGAATTGGAGGGGTTTGACGGGGTTTCCCCAACCTGTTTCTGAACAGGGCTAGTTGTAATCTTAGCATCATAAATAACTATTTCCCGTAACATTACAAACCAAGGTTCTAGGACAGAGGAAATTGATTGATATCATATAGCACGAGCAAAGAAATAACCTGTACAGTGTCCAAAAGGTATGGAACAGCCGGAAGAACTTGTCTCCTGATAGGCAAGAAAAAGGTAAAAGTGTCAGAGCATAAGGTTACAGAACAGCAACGGTATCATGTACAGTAACTTATTCAATGATCTTAAACAATGTGACAGGAAAATCTCAAACAATGCTCCCCACACATAACAAAAATCTTAGATAGCGGATATAATTTATGAAGTAACAAATCTGTCATAGGCTAACAGAGAATCTTCTAGTCCCTCCTATCCAAAATAAGTGTAGCAGTTAGTTCAAGCAAGATGTGAGCAAGTGGCACCAGCTTTTGCATAGCTTATGCATGTGAAATGAGAAATAAGGAGAAGGCTTGCTAGCATTGTGTTGTGTTTATATTCGGTGAAGTCGGATTCCACTAATTCAGCCAGAGAACTGGTCAAGAGACACTGAAGCCAACATCAACATCATGATTTTCTTTTATCTGTCTAGGCAGTTCAAAATGTGTGCATTGCTTCTTTTTTAAGATAACTATAATACTGGATTGTGAAGTTTCTGGAAAGGGGGTCAAAAGGTTGGTTACTGAACTGAATGTAGAGACGAACCTGCCCAGCATCTGTTTCCCCAGGTCCATCAGGTCTGTTACAGTTTTGTCTCCATCCCGAACAAACTCGAGAATCTGTATCAGGAAGCAGAAAAGGGTATTATTCAACCATGAATTGGCTTGTGGAAACAGCATCGGAGAGTACCGCATCCTCAGTTTCTTACCTGCGACGCGATGAGCGCGATGGCCTCCGTGTAGTTGAGGCGGAGGCCGCGGGCGAGGCGCTTCTGCGCCAAGAAGCCGGCGCTGTGCAGCGCCAGCTTCTCCGCCTCCCTCGGCACCAGCTTCATCTCTCACCACAGGAGCAGATTCAGGGCTGAAGCCCTCGAAACCTCTGGGAAACGAGCTGCAGGCCGAAAATTCAGAACAGCAGAACCAAAACTCCCAGCACCAACCGGAATGCCTAACAAAATTTACATGGCACGGGATAATCGAATTAAGCAATAGCGTGGGAGAGGTCAACCTGAACCTGGGCGGGTGGGTCGCCGGTAACCTCCGCCCCGCGGCGGGCCAGCGGATGAGGGCGGCGCCGCTCGCTTCGCCGGGACGGGCTTCCAGGTGCCGGCGGGGAGAGGGCTCGGCGCGCGGCCGCGCGTGGTCTGGGGGAAGCCGGCGGAGGAGCGGAGCGGAGCAGAGTGGGGGGAGAGAGAGAGAGAGAGAGGTCGTCGCGAGCTGGCGATGGATTTTGATTGGTGGGCCGGCTGGATTCTGTTTTGCCGATTCCGTCGCCGTCGATGGGCCCGCCGCCGCGCGCTTCGGGAATCTGGAGTGGATCAATCGAGCAAGCGACGGCATCCACTGCGCCCAACAAGTCAGCGGGTTGACGATAAGAGTGTAACCACTTTCTTTGAATCATTTGCATCGTCTCTATAATTGCCCGTTTATAGTTAGCAAAAAGAAGAAATAAAAACTGCTCCCTCCGTCCGGAAATACTTGTCATCAAACTAGATGAAAGGGGATGTATCTAAATGTATTTTAGTTCTAGATACATCTCTTTTTATCCATTTTGATGACAAGTATTTTCGGACGGAGGAATACCACTCAAAAAAACAAGTTAGTGAAAAAAACAAGTGAAAACTGTCGTGACAGTCCATAAGGCAACACTTGTCAATCTGGCTACCCACGTAAAGAGATACCAGTTGTCAAGAAAATAAACATCATTGTTTCGTTGAGATTGTCATGAAGTGTCACCGTCGTCCTCCGACTTCATCATTGACGACCGTCAACAAAGCCTTTACCGAAACAGATGTCGAAACCCATATAGGCCTATCCAAACACATGGCCACCGTTCAGCGGTGACAGCCAGACAACTCTAACTTTGACAACGAGCCTTGCAAGAGAAAAATGGAAGATATGCCCAGTTTTTATTAAGTTTGATTGATATTTTGGATGCCAATATTTTCCTACTTAGATTGTACTACAAAATTGCATCGTGTCAAAACCCCAGTAGGGAATGTGTAAAATCGTAACTTCTTTCTGAGATGTGTATGCTACTTCTTTCTGCATATGTGGCTTACTAAGCATAACTAGTAAGTGAAAATGAAGTGGGGCGAGCTCACTTGGTTAACAGGTGCTGGGCAGGCAATACCTAGAGGCAAACGCTCTAGTTCCGAACTGTTGGCTGGCACTCAACCCCTACACTTGGACATCAACGGTAAGAGAAATAACACTACTTCATCTTCAAACCGAGCTAATTTTTTTAAAATAATATATATATATTTTATTAATTTTCATAAATATTACGCTGTGTAAATTTTTTTCAAAAATAATACATCATCGGCCCGCTGTAAGCCGATTGGGCCTAGTCGGCCCACTGTGGGCTGATTGGGTCCCGTCGGCCTACTGTGGGCCGACTGGAGCTAATTGGCTCGCTGTGGGCTAATTGTTTTTGCAAAAAAGTAGACATAAAAAAATATATGTTTAAAAAAATGTTAATCCTGTAATTAAAAAATGTTAAACGTGTATAAAAAAACATTCCTGATGTATACAGAAAATGTACAATATATATGCAAAAAAGTTGACTAAAAAATGTTTTAAAAAGTGTTAATCATGTATTTAAAAATAGTTAAATGTGTGTATAAAAAATGTTCCTTATCTATACAAAAAATATAGAATGTGTATGAAAAAAAGTTGACACCAAAAAAATATGTTTGAAAAAATGTTAATCATGTATTTGAAAAAAATGTTCCTTATCTATACAAAAATAATAGAATGTGTATGAAAAAAAGTTGACACCAAAAAAATATGTTTGAAAAAAATGTTAATTATGTATTTGAAAAAAATGTTCGACGAGTACACGAAAATGTTTCGTGTATTGGAATGAAAGGTTAAACGTGTATAAAAAATGTTCCAGCTCCGGATCCGGTATGAGAGCATCACGGACCTAAGTATGGTTGCTCTTTTTGTATGGAACTGGAACATTTTTTCCAAACATATTTTTTTGGTGTCAACTTTTTTTCATACACATTCTATATTTTTTTTATAGATAAGGAACATTTTTTCTGCACACATTTAACAATTTTTAATCATGTATTTGAAAAAATGTCAACTTTTCAAACATATTGTTTTGGTGTCAACTTTTTTTCATACATATTCTATATTTTTTTATAAATAAGGAACATTTTTTATACACACATTTAACAATTTTTAAATAAATGTTTAACACTTTTCAAAACATATTTTTTATGTCAACATTTTTTCATATATATTGTACATTTTTTTATACATTTTATACACGTTTAACATTTTTTAATTACATGATTAATTTTTTTTAAACATATATTTTTATGCCTACTTTTTTTGCAAAAACAATTAGCCCACAGCGAGCCAATTAGCTCCAGTCGGCCCACAGTGAGCCGATAGGACGCAATCAGCCCACAGTGGGCCGACAGGGGCCAGTCGGCCAGCTGTAGGCCGACTGGAATCCAATCGGCCTGCTGTGGGCCGACTAGGCCTAGTCGGCCTGCAGCGTGCCGACGGTGTATTATTTTTGAAATTTTTTATCCAGCGTAATATTTATGAAAATTAATAAAAAAAATGTATTATTTTTTAAAAAATAGCTCAAACCGAGAGCAAGACCAGTGAAAAAAAAAAGACTTGGCAGCTCCATGCAAGAAAGAGATCAATTGCTAGCTATATATATACTCCTCTTGCCTTACAATCATCAAAAAAAAAGGAAAAAGAAAACTGAAGCACTAGCAACAGCCAAATGATTTGGTATGGCAACTGATTTTGGTCTGTCTGTTACTCTGTTCCATTTCTGCATCCCCACCTTGAGTTCAGTGAGCAGCAACATGGCCCTCTTATAAGTTAACCAACCAAATGCAGCAAGACAGATCTGCTCTGGCTGTTGCAGTGAAATAAGTGCAGTGAATCAGTGGTGTAGAATTTTGCTCTGTGAGGGGCAAAAGCTAAACAACACTGAACCGTGATCAAGATTTGAACTGGCTTGCACACTGAAAACAC